GGAATCATATATATATATATATATATATATATATGTTTTTTTTTTGTTTGTTTGTTTTTTTTTCAAATAAAGCCAAGGTAACACTCATTTTACATACAGCACGCAATGAAAATGACATGAATATGACAGTGGGCAAACGCATAAAGCGCAGCATAATTTGAAATCACGAGTTTAAAGTTTGTCGATCGCGCGTCTCTCCAGTCAAGCAGAACTCTCCTCCTATCCACATTCAATTTGCATGGACCGACCATCACGCAGAGAACACGCGATCATGCAGGATACAAATGCACACTTCACAAGATCTCAACTAAATTCGACTAAGTCTGCAAACCGGCCAAACAGAAAAACTTATAGGCCGATATACCGACCACTACTACACATCATAAAGTTTGCACTGTGTTTTTAATGTAGATACAGCAGACGGGATGTTCTTCCTTTGGGCAAATTCACCTTGAATCTCAGTGGCTGTCCTCACAGCTCTCCATACACTGAGCATCTCTACAAAGTCATCCAACAGCTTGTGCCATCTGTAAGTCATCTAGATTGTGCTTTTCTAGATCTTAAAGTTATATTACTCTAATAGCAGTAGCTGCCATTACTACTACTTTGAAAATTGATTCCCCTTTCTTGCTAGTCATACTGGCTATGCATGTGCCTGCATAACATGAACAACCAGAGGATGGTGCCCTGGAAAGATTACACAGCTAACCGCCTGGTGAGTGGGACACTTCAGCTGGCCAACAACACATCATTGTTTCTGGATGAGACACAGCTGGAGCAGGGCCAGTTGGACGCCACAGGTGAGAGCACTGATTATAGCAGGTAAAAGAACTGTGCTGACTAGAAGTACAGTAGGAGTCCAAAAGTCTGACACCACTTTGGCTACATATACATGCAACCTAATAATCTATTTTTCATCATAACAATGGCTCAGTCGGTCTAAAAAGACTTAATCTAAACACCTCAATCAATCCATTTGAGCTCAGTCTGAATGAAATTTCAATTTTGAGGTTCTTGCTTCCATTAAAGCTCAAAATTATCTATGGATCCTTCTCGTCATGCTGGAGCACATGATCATCAGTTTTTAGACTTTACACAAACATGTGGAGTTCATGCAGCTTGAGTGCTGCTGTCAGTGGCAAAAGAAAGACATTCTGAAATTCATGTTAATTCTTCAGTTCAACTTTTCACTCAAATTGTTAAGTGTATTGCTGATGAAATAATTTGTAATGTAAAAAGACTCAATATTCATTTCAAGAAATGGTGATCTCTCACTTTTGGACCATATGAGCAGTAAGTCTAGTGTTTGACAGGAAGTGGCTGCTTGTGGTTTTGACATTTATGCATTTCTAAAAAAACATTTCTTTTATTTATACTGAGATGCACATTTACCTTGTTGGTGTTATGCCAAATTTACACTGCAGAGGTGGCACAGAATTGCTTCTGAAGTGGCATTTAGGTGTCTTTACACAGACTGTTTAATGCTGCTCAGAGGTGGCATGAATGCATTTACAGAGTTACAACTGTATATTTTGATACTTTGATATTATGATGAGGTGGGTCAGAGCAGGCATAATTTAGTCTGGAATTTTGAGCAGGCATAGGGCAGTCCTAACATGGCTTGCCTTTACAATTGAGAGTTACCATCAATAACCTTGTCATTCTCTGTTAATATCAGTACACTTATCTAATCTCTGGCAGAGACAGATGCATGCCTAAAGGAAGAGTAAACATCCTTTTCTGCAGCAGCAGGCATTTCCTTTCAGACTGTATTGCTCCGTGTTGTTCAGTCGTTGTATTTATCTTACAAGTTGTTCATAGAGACACAATTCTTTGTGGACTGTCTGTCCTGGGTGTAGGTGTGCGAAACATCACCGCGCTGGGGAACCTGATCTCCTGGCAGAAGGTTGATTATGACTTCAACTACCACCAGATGGAATTCCCTTGCAATATTAACGTGCTTATCGCATCTGAGGGACGATCGCTCCTCCCGGTAAGAACATCAGGCCTGAGTCTCTTCTGTGTTTTATTATTAAAATATTACCCACATGTATTTGGCCGAATTAGAGAGACTGGAATCTTAATTTCCAACAGGTGAAAATTACTTTGGTTGAATGCCTCTCCCATGGGAGTTGGTTCCATCGGGCAGTTGTAAAGACAGCCTAATATTTCCATTACAGTCCACAGGGTTGTCGTCAGCTCCCTGGCTGGGCTCTAATCGTGGCTTTGCCGTGATGCTAACAGCCTGTGGAATGTGCTGTGCTATTCCTGTACGTCAGCTCTCCAGTTGCCATGGTGGCAACTCTACCACAAGGACATTAGAGGGAGAGGCTAGGACAGGCCACTTATTTAATGGCACGAAGCTCAGATACAGTTTTTTACAAAGTTTAAAAAGGCACTGAAGGTTTATTAGGAGTAGTTTCGTAACTCCTTAATGGCTTCTGACATTTCTACAAATGAGAACTTGAAATACCAGAGCTCAGTCATTTTAAAAATGAGGCACATTATAAAATGCAAGTCCTTGCAGTGATTTTCTTCTTTGCTTTCTCAGTCTGACAGTCAGGTTCACCTGCGGCCCACCCTGAACCCACCTAACCTGGAGGAGTACCTGAGCGCCGTGCAGGTGGCGCAGGTTCCATCTCAGTTCAACAAGTATCGCATCTATCTGAGTGTGGCACGTGCACTGAACTACACTATTTCGGATGAGATCACAACGGTCAGGATTTTGTCAAGTCGCCTTTATTTCTATAGAGCTTTATAAAATACATATTGTTTCGAAGTAGCTTCACAGTATTAAACAAGATAATACCAATTTAAAGTTCTTCAATTGTGAAATTAATGCAATTTCAGCTGTAAAGCAGCCCTACAAAAGATTCAGCTCGTCAGTTCAGTGTTGATTCAGTTTAGTTCAATATTAGTGCAAAATTAATCAAATTATGAAACAAGATTAATTCAGTTATAAGCATCTCTACAGAAGGCAATGGTGTAAGTTCAGTGTTGATTCAGTTATGAAACGAACTCAATTCAGCTATAAAGCAGCTCTACTGCTCTCAATTTAGTTCCAATTTAGTCAGCGCAGTTACATTTATAATATTGCTGGATATTAAAGGGATAGTTCACCCAAAACTGAAAATTCTGTCATTAATTACTCACCCTCATGTCATTCCAAACCCATAAGACATTCGTTCATCTTCGGAACACAAATTTAGATATTTTTGATGAAATCCAAGAGCTTTCTGACCCTGCATAGACAGCAATGCAACTATGTTCAAGACCCAGTAAGGTAGTAAGGACATCGTTAAAATATCCATGTGACATCAGTGGTTCAACCGTAATTTTATGAAGCTAGAATACTTTGTGCGTGTAGAAAACAAAAATAATGACGCATGAATTGTGGTACTCTCTAGAGGTCTGCTACCTGACCCGAACCCGACGGGTCACGAAATACTTTCGGGTTTCGGGTCGGGTTCGGGTTAATGCTTAATGAATAGCTTCGGGTTCAGGTCGGGCTCGGGTTTATAGCTAAACTAAAACTATATGCAGGCTACGCTGCTTTCATAGACGCACGCACACACATTATTGCACACGACAACACAGCACTGTAACTTTTATTAGTAAAATAGCTTCGACAGGCTACTGACTCGCAACGTTATATTTCTCTGCAATGAGGGGGTAAAATCGCTGTTTTTGAAGTAACTAAGCCTCATTGCTTGTAGAGAGAGACGCGCAGACACAGGTTCACACGCAACTTTCATCTCTCTCTCTCTCTCTCTCTCTCTCTCTCTCTCTCTCTCTCTCTCGCTAATTCAAATAAATGATATAATTAGCCTAATTAATTCAAATAAATGCGATCTTACCGCACTGCATCTCTGTGTCTGATTTAAAGCAGACCGAATGCTAGTAAGGCTCGTAACTGACGAAAATGACCATAATTTGCACTATGGAAGAATTATCGTCTTGTCGTATACAACCACTCAAAAACTCGGCAGAATTTATGTGACCGCTGCACCTGATGTTCATAAACTTTCATAACTGGTAAGTGTTTTATCTTTTGCCTTGTGAACTGGCTGAGCCTTAATGATTCGGTTTCTTTACATGTATTTGTTTACTGACCGTTGCATGCAATTGTGAAATACAGCATTTTTTTTTAATTGGCTATTCGTTGTGGGAAAAAAAAAAAGATTTCGGGTCCGGAGTCTAAATTTAACTGTGCCGCTCGGGTCGGGTCAGACGATCTCAGGTACGGTCCGGGTTCGGGCTTCACTTTAAAGCCCGTGCAGACCTCTACTACTCTCATGAACGTGTGGCAAAGATTGACACGGAAGAGAAGAAATTGTTGAATAAAGTCGTTATTTTTGTTTTCTTTTGCACAAAAGTATTCTCGTAGCTTTATAAAATTAAGGTTGAATCACTGATGTCACATGGACTATTTTACTGATGTCCTTACTACTTTTCTGGGCCTTGAACGTGGTAGTTGCAATGCTGTCCGTGCAGGGTCAGAAAACTCTTGGTTCCGGATATGGTTTTATGGGCTTGGAACGACATGAGGGTGAGTAATTAATGGCATAATACATTTTTGGGCGAGCTATCCTATAAAGGAAACTATATAAGTTTCCTTTAAACTCCAAAGCCAAAGGCAACAGTGGCAAAGAACCAAAAATCCAAAACAAATTTATATGATTGTTTGGATGTTTATCGTGATGAAATTTCTTGCCTCATGCTTGGCACTCTTGATCTGTAGGCAGTAGAAGACGACTTTGTAGAGATGCGAAAAGATGACCCTCAGAGTATGTCTGCGGAAGACCTCCATAGGCTGCTGGTTGTTGCGAGGTGAGTTCTGAATTGCGCTTCCACAGCTAATCTAGTTATGTTAACCATAATAAGCCAATTAAATACTAATTTGGATTCTGTTTCAGGTTGCTCTCATTAAGTCACGGGCAGAACACACTCTCCAGAGATGGCTGGATGAAAGCCAAGCAGCTAGAGGCCTTGAGAATAAGTCGAACACAGCAGCAGAAAAGTGTGAGCGGAAACGAGCCTTAAAATATAATTACTGTTTACATATACTTCAACAGTTACCATACTTGTTTATATTTTGGATTAAAATGTAATGTTTTCATATGGCATATGACCTTGTACAGTTCAGTTTTTTTTACTTCATTTTAAACATGTGGGAAAACTTACTGGCACTGGTGAAGATTATTTTCAATGTTTGAATTGTTAAATTTTGGTTTTGATACTTGCATTGTGTATTAACATTTATATGCAGATGCAAATATGTTTCAAAATATAACTGCCTTACCGCAAATACTTACACTTATGGCACAAGGGTATTAGAAAAAATAAAGTTTTGAGAACTTTGTATATATAGTCGTTTTAAGTGTTGGATAGCACTTCACAGTAAGGTTTCATTTGTTAATTACTTCAGTTAACATGAACGAACAATGAAAAGTACTTCTAAAGCAGTTGATTTTAGTTAGTTATTTTAATGTATTAAATGTTAAAATTATGTTAATGTTATTTAATGGACCTAAGCTAACGTGAACTAACAATAAACTCTTGTATTTTTATTAACCAACTTTAACAAAGATTAATAAATACTGTAACAAATGCATTGCTTATTTTTAGTTAATTAATGCATTAACTAATGGGACCTTTTGTAATGTGTTACCAATTATGGGAATTATGTTATACCAATGGCAATTCTATACCAATTATGCAGTTGGCAATAGCAATATAATCTAACACTTAGGGACCTTGTTGTTCTGATGTATTGCAGTGAATTAAAATCATGCCGTTAAAAACAGCTTTACAAGAAGGTTTGTCAGCATGTTTAGAGTTAAAAATAGCAAAGGCCTGAAAGTGCCAGTGCTGACATGTTCATGTTGAATGTCACGGGCAATGCAGCACCAGACTACTCTTCTCTATTACAACCTGACTAAAGGAGTCAAAACTCTCAGACTGCATCTGAATGCAAAGAATGTAATACAGTGTAGCTCTGGGCAATTAAGAGCTCTTCACTAGGAGGAGCCACATACTGACACTGTAAGGAGAGGTTACAGTGAGATCTGTGAGTGGAGTGCTAGAAAAAAAAAACATTCCTCAAGTGATATCTGCAGTGTTTGGTGAAAAAAGACTCTCAAACTGTTTTTGTAATTAAAGCTGTAAATGAATCAAAATGACCTTTTTTTTGTTTTGTTTAAATATTTACTTAAAAATCCTCCCAGGCACATCCCATAACATTACATAAAATACAGCAGTTTACATGATTATTATTTTTATTATTATTATTAACATAGGAAAATACTGGGGAATAAGCTTGAGAACATGAAGCTTGACATTTGAATAAATACTCTGCAATAAAATGTTGGGTACAATGGATGAAAACAATCCACGAACATTTATGGAGGACAACGTTCTCTCAAATGGGAAGAAGCTGAACATGATTTACAAACAGGACTGTTAGACAAAATGTTATACGATGCATGTCAGTTCAGTTACAAACATTGAAAATAAAAAGTGGATTCAAAAGCACTTCGTGACAAATTGCAAGATGTTCAGGGAACAACCACAAAGGACAGCACAAGTCTTTATGCACAGAAAATTAAAAATTCATACATAACCAAAAACAATCTACCCCACCTCCAAAAACAAGAGGAATGTTTGTCAAGATCCTCAGCATAAACCTCTGCCAAAGAAGAGCATTTCAAGTTCAAAGCAAAGTACAGAGTGCAGTCCAGTGCATTCCATCTTAAATAGTAAAAACAGTATTCCGATTACCACCAAAACTACTGCGCATGTATTTATCACCGTTGCATAACAGCCACCGTATATTAAAACTAAGACGGTTCCAATCTCGGAAGCTTATCAAAACCACGTACCAGCTCCAGGAATGTCAAGAACATTGTGTAACCCACTGCCTTGCACAGCACTCTATGCTACAGTACATGTGAGAGAAAGACGAGTAAGAAATGACGTGTGAGAAACAAAGCTCATGGTGGGTTTGAAAAGCTAACTGTGGCCCAAAGAACCAATAAACCAGCTCTAAGAGCCAATATAATGTTCTCAATGATGTTCACGTGAGATCACAGTGTCTTATTCAGATCTTTTGATATTATTTAGTCCATAAGACATTTAACTATTTCAGCGTCTCTTGATACACAAAGATCAATTGCACAGGAGCTGCACTTAAACAACAATAATTAATGCATAATTAAACTAGGATCCACTGGATATCACCCAGTAAGGCTTGATTTTTTTTTTTTTTCCAAATCTAGAATATATGGGGTAAGGCTTCAAAAGATGATCTAATTCACTTCTCAATTTTGAACCAAATGACCTTCAAGCCAAAGCGAATCTAAAGACATGGCATAGATACTATAGACCGAAATGTAAACTGAATGAAAACAGATTTATAGGTAGACTTGTCAAAAACCTGTATTTAGCAATTTGATAAGTCTTGCTCTTGCCATTTAATGAGTGCAAAACGTTGATTATCATGGGTATCTTGCATCAGACCTGTGTCAAATACCAGTCAAAAGTCATTATATATGCATACGGAGGTCCAGCAACTACAAATAATTAATTTTAGGTTTTTACAGGTACTCAAAACCAGTCATATCTACATATATGAACGTCCAACAATGTACAAGCAGAGCATTTGACGATATCAGCAGACCACTGTTACATTATCCCATCACATACAACTGAAAAATAAGACATAGATGTAAAATTTTAAGACAAGCCTTGCTCGTTGTTTGAGTTGTCTGCTAATGCTATGAAACGAACGTTTTGTTTGACAGAATTTAGTTGCATGATTGGATCAACAGGGGCGTCTTGTTTCCATCAGCTATGATTATAAACTTAAGAGCATGTAAATATAATTCTCTGTCTATAAACATCTTAATTGGAGAGTTCTAAAGGAAACTGCTACAGTACTTACATACAATACTTTTTACAGTTGAATAATATAATTTGACCATAGATCCTACACAACTACTCTGGTCCTATTTTGGTATAGTTTTATGACAAACACCACATCAAAGATATCCATATAACTGTACGGTCTGGTTGTCTAACGTGAAATATTAAGCCGCCCACTGATAGATATTCCAATCGGGAAAGGTTTTAGTTACAGCTACGACAGCCAGTGAATTTCACTGCACAAATGGGGTCACATGACATATCTAGGTCTTGGGTCTCGACATGCAATAAAACTTGCCTGTCGTAATCTACTTAAGAGTTACTTCTTAACATGCAAACCAGCAATATAGAAATGTTTAGGATTCGACTTGGTTGAGTTAATCGTACTACTTACTACTCAACACTGGCTGTAAACTTTGGTTCAGTTAACTGGAGGGAAAACCAGGAGTGTGGCTTGACTTTTGTGAGCTTATGCTACCGTTACTGTACTGGAAGTCACGATCTAATGCTAAAAATACATCCACTAAGCACGCTATATCTGAATGATCCTGGTCTGGCACTGTGTAAACATTGCTCGCAATTCGTTCTCTTGGGTTTCGTTGACAGCATCTGGTTCTGGGCTTTTCTGTACTTTTGCTACAGCAAAGTTGATGCCTTGGGTAAGTCCAGCTTGGGTTAAACTAGCCACCTGCACCATGGAGCTCCTGATCTTCGCGAAGGGCGACACGACCCGGCTTCCACTGCTGTCTGCAGGGGAGGGTCCTGTGACACCTTCCAGGCTCTTTTGTGACCCGCATGATGTGGCGGAGCCTGCAGGCTGAACAGTCAGAAGATTTGCCCCATGGATGGAGGACTCTACCTCAAGCTGGGATGGGCGAGGAAGCTGCTGTTGGGAATGAGAAGACCCCAGCTTTGCGTCTGGAGCTGAGGGGGCTTGAGGCGCTTGCGGTTTGGGTGCTGGTGCCACTTCCTCGAACACCTCTATTGGTTTGATCTTGGCATCCTGGACGAATTGGTGGCAGTAAGCATCAATAGGTGTCCCGAAGTCAATCAGAATGGCTTCCTCTGCCACCGAGGCAGACCCAGGAGACTGGCCATCCGGGCCAACTGACAAGCTATCTGCTGTCTTGTCATCACAGCCTGTGACTCGGATGACAGAGGGCACCGCAAGCTCGACGCTGCCAATCGACTGCGAGCGACTGCTAAGTCGTGGTGCAGATGCTACAATTCCACAGCTAGGAAGCACATAGTCCACATTTTCCCGAGAGCCTGCGCAAGGCTGCTCATCAGAGTTGTATGAATCAGAATCAGAGGAAATCTCTGAATGTTCGTCATTAAGGTCTTTCAGGGCTGCTGAACCCATATTGCCATCATGAGTCTCTAAACTGCTGTCTGATTTCCAGAGGTTCATATGCAAATTTGGCTTGAGGAAGTTCACTTTTACCTCGGGCTTTGAGAAGGTCCCTAGTTTCCCCAAGGGCTTGAAGTTTCCAATGTTGACGTTAGTCTTTGTTTGCTTCACTTTCTGGTTTAGTGTTGAAAACTTGTTCAAAAGGAAACTTTTGCCTTGAGCCAAACCAGACCCAAGGACTTGGTCAACGGCTTTCCCTTGTATTCCCATTATATCCTCATGCGGTTTGCTGTGTCTCCTGAAACAAAGCAATTAAAGCAAGATTAATCAAGAACTAACAGTTCAGCACAATTTGGCTTTGTTCAAAAAGGCAGAAAAAAACAACAGATTTGACTGAAATTGGTTTAGTTTTTTGTAGTCTTAACATGAAAAAAAAACATTAAATCAGAGGTTCACAAGCCTGGTCCAAACCACCTTCATTAAAGAATTAGATTTTTGTTAATGTGTCTCAGGCTAATTGATCAGATCGAGTTTCATGTTTTTTCATTCATTAATTACTGTGAAGCAAGTTTAAACACCCAATACTAAAGTGTCACAGGAACCTACACAAGTTTGTGTCCAATGTGGAAATGCTAGCAAAAAATTGCAGAAATGATCATATCCAGCCACATATAATTTTTTTTATACAACAGTCTGAAAAAAAAAAAAGAAATTAAGATGAAAAAATCTAATTTAGAAAACAGATTTAAGACCAACATCCCCTGCAGTGTGAGTAAAGCCTTTGTGTCCTTAGTAAATCAGGTAAACACCATCTCCTAGAAGAAGCTCACAAAAGCTTTTTTTTCCTTTTACCTCTCTAGTTTCTTCTCAACAACCTGGACATCAAGCCCCATAGCTTGCTTTGTAATACGAAGCATTTCCGCAATGCACTGGAGTGTGTCTGAAATGCAAACAATCCAACAAGTGCAGAGGAATGGATAAATTATTTAACACAAACACAAAACCCTACATCAGCATACAGACAGCCAAGTTATATCTTTTACCAACTTAACCCATAATGTCAATCACTGAATTACACAATACAGAACTAGAGGCACAACAAATCCTGGTATCCCTGTACAAACCTTTTCCATCATCTTCTGGATTTCGTGTGACAGCCCTTAGCGTATGGAAGTAACCACTCATCTCCCCGTTCTTATAGTGCAGCCGCATGCAGCAGTATTTAGGCTTTCCGAAAAGAGTC